ATTGATGGAACAAAAACCAAATAAGAATAGTCTCACTGTAAATATATCTTTTTGCACATATAATTTTATATTTTTATAAATACAACAAAGGATGAGCTAGAGACTAGGCCTAGGCGCGGATCGCATATCCCAAAAATGCAGTATTTTTTAATTTATTCGATTTATTTTTTATGGATATCTAATTTTCCAATTTGTTTTGCTCCGAAAAGTTTCGGATATCCTGGATTACGGATATCTAGATATTTTCGGATATCTGAATCTTCACGGATATCTGTTTTAAACAAAAAAAAAATTAGAGCACCATAATCTTTTTTTCAAAACAAAAGTTTTCATATTAGATTTAAACTAATTAATGAATAAATATATGAAATGGGTAATTTTATTCGATATAACTTTAAAAAAAATGAAAAGTAAAATATTGAAATGGTGAAAAATAAAACATATAATTTTTTTATTTAAGAAATATATTTAAACTAAAGTTAGTATCTACCTATTTTTACTATAAATGTATTCGCCAAATATATTTAAAAGCCAAAAAAATAAATATATGTTATAAATCTACTATATTATATGTTTATATAAGTAATATACGGATTGGATCGGATATTCAGATTTTTAAAATTAGTATTTGTGTTTTGCTTTGGTTTAGACGGATACTAAATTTTAGTATTTGTTTTGCTTTGATTCAAAAATTCTGAAAATTTCAATAATCACTATATTTTGATACAGATAAATCAAAACCTAACACACATAAATAACATTTTGAAATCATAAATCAATGAAAATGTATTTTCGTTTCTTGTGTTGTTTCCAATATTTTGATTTTGATGGAGATATCTCAAGGTTTTGAATCTTCTGAAACATCAAACACTGTGTTTCAACTATTTGGGTTGAAGATTCATAGCTTTTGCTCGAGGTCTTAACACGAGGAGTTCTAATCAATAGACAGAATTCGTAACTAAGAGATATTTCATTTTTATTTTTATATTTTATCTTGCTATTCATGATGTGAT